TTACTGAACTCAGTTATTTTCATAGATCTGAGCAAAGTACTTGTACATAGTTTTATCTGTTAGGTGATTTTATATTTACTTCCTATTTTGCTGTGAGAAATAATCAGCCTCTATGATATGACCCTTGAATATTATTTTTTCCTTCTGAATTCTGATTTCTTCCCCAGATTTGTTTTTGTCATTCTGGTAAATTGATGTTATAACACTGAAGAATGGGATGTATTTTCAAAGTATGTGAAATGATATCTTAACATATGTATTTGGTTCAGTCTCAGGATATCAAAAAAACTCTCAGGAATGGGTTGATCAAACCACAAGACGGAGGTCTAAAATGCAAAGTAAGTGGTAAATCTCTACCTATTGAAATTTTACCTACTTGCCGCTTTTCATGATTTAACATACAGGAGTATTTGTTCTTCAGCTCAGCATTCAGATTGTGATTTCATTAATAAAGGACAGCTATGATTATTAATTTAACAATTTCCATCTGCTTAAACAGGGTATACAGTATAGATAGAGAAAGCCAGTGGATGGTGGATCCAACTTGACAAGTTGTCAATTCTAGGAGTGCAATCTGTACACAGTAATGAAATTTTGCTCTTCTGATAGTACCTGACTTTTATTTTTAGCAGTCTGTTTATATAAATAACCACCTAAAGAAGCTTAGCATTCCTATTGATAAATAATAAAGTCCAAAATTCACAAATTGTGTTTTCATGCTTAGGTTTAGAATTAATTATCATAGAATTTAAGAAATATCATAAATAGATATGTTGAAGCAGTCACGCCTTGAACTCAATATCTGTCCTAATTTCTGTGGCAATATGTCCATATTAACAGTGTGTCCACCTACACCTTAACTCTATAAAAAATAAATGGCATGCCTTAAGCAACCCTTAACCTCTATCCCTTTTTTACTCATCTGATCATAATAAATCTTAAGTTCATCATCCCCTTTAACTCATATAAAAATCCACATGTCTTTCTTGCTCATAAAATGATTGATCATAATTGAACAAAACAACCTCTGTGGCTTTGTTTTCCCATCACTAAAGTAGTAATGGTCACAATTCTTTTTTTTCCCTCTAGTGAAATTTTACCATATGTATAAGAGTAGTTTGACTTTCTAAAACTGAGATAGCTTTTTTCTTTTCCTTATTTTTGACCATCATTTCTTATTCTTACATGTACTTATTGTTAGAAGACCATTTCCTCTTAAAATATGTTCTTCCTGACCTGATATAATTGGTAAATTAAATATTAATAGCTTATTAGGATTATCTTTAACCAAAATCACACATTAAAACTTACTTTGAAAAAAAAAAAACTACTTTGAAGATCTGAGATACAATATACTCATAGAAGTAAAACTGCATGTGTTTAAGTATGTATATGTATATTATGAAAAACTCAGACTTCTTAAGTTATTTCTTGTTCTTAACTATATATTTTACATAATTTACATCAGCTAAATTTATGTCTGGGTAAGTAAAATGTAGTGTACTTTTTCTGTCCTCCCTTATCAACAAAGGTACAGCTTTTATTTTCTTTTCCAAGCCACGGCAAATACAATGGGAAAGGAAAATTTTATACTGAACATGTGACTAATATAGAAATGTAGCTTTTTAATTGATAAACTAATAGCTAACTTTTGGTATTGTATCTGTCTGCATTCCTACTTTTTCTTAAGTTCTTCAGTTACTATATGTTTTAAATAGTCACCTTCCAATTGATAGCCATCTACCATGTATATAGGTATTATCTTGGGCTTTGAGAGTTATACAGAAATTATATAGCAGAATTTGCACCTTTATAATGCAGAAAACAGAATTTTTTAGGCCTTCGGCCACATAAAGTCTTTAAGAACAGTGAACAGG